TTCTCGCCCTGGACTGCACATCGGAACCGTGAGGGGCTCTGAAGGGTCCTGAGTCAGGGCACACCCGGTCCACGTACACCAGAGTCTCCAGAGCAGGGTCCACCGTGGAGACTTCTCCCGGGCGTCTTCACCTGCAGTCAAAGTTGTGAACCAGCCAAGAGCTCACGGTAATCTGTGTCCCTGGCGAGGGCTGCTGGCGGTTGGTGGTGGTTTTGACTGGGCATCTTGCAGGCACAATTCCATCAGACTCTTGCGACTCTTGTGTGAAGTAGGGTGCGGACCCAGAGAGGTTATATGACTTACTCAAGGCAACACAGCAAGTTAACAGACTCTGGGATTCATTTCTGCTTTGGCCTGTGCACACCCCGCCCCGGGCATGCTGCCTCCAGGCTGTGCAGCTTTGGCTGAGCGCCTTCCCCTCTCTGGTCCTGCACTTTCTCCTCTGCAAAACCAGGGATGGAGAATGCTGTGTCAGCATTTTCCAGCCTGTGGATCTAAATCTCAAGTCCACGTGGTCCAGTGGCACAGGACTCAGGACTGTAGTCTGCCTCCTGATTACAGATGAAGACAGGAAGGAGGAGGTCACTGGTTTGCTCTGGGAGCAGCTGGGAGCGGAGATCTGCGGAGCCCCAGGCTGCCCCACCCACATTCATGGTCCGCCGCAGGCCATCCTTGAGCGGTGTCTTAAGGACCTACTGGAGGGCAGTTTGTACCACTGTGTCCTTGAATTAATGACAGATTCCAGGCAGTCGTAGCGAGGGACAGAGGTCCTGGGTGCCCTTCACTCCGACTCCCCCAGGGTGACCTCTCAGCCGCGGGTACAATTCTGTTATTTTTTCATGTTGGTCAGCTCACTGCAACTTCCAGGGTGCAGGTGCAGGGCAGGCCCAGGACACTAGGACCTCTCAGCCACCCCTCCCTCACTGCCCCACGATTCCAAACCCTGGCCGCCTCTGGCTACCACTGACAGAATGGGGGGGGGGGCTTCCCATGCCCAGCTCAGTCCAGCGCCCCCTTACTCTCCTCCAGGGGGTGGGCCTGTTCCGTGGCCCCCCACCTCCTCTGCGTTCTCCTTGCCAACAGAGCCCACAGGGCACCTGGCGGGGCAATGGACCCTTAGGACGTGCTTTCCCAGGCTGCCTTGCAGCTGGGGTGCGACCCGATCCTGGCACCAGGGGTGCAGGGGTGTTGCCAGGGTGCAGTGGCTTTGGCTCCCCTGAGCAGATCCACGATGGCCCCGCCCTGGCCTGAGCCACACTGGGCCACAGCATCAGAGCCGGCAGGAGCAGCACAGAGGGCAGGTCCCCTGGCACAGAGCACCAGCAGCACACATCCATTCCTCCGGACTTGTTCCTGGGCAGAGAGAAACCTGCAGGAGTCCTGTCTGCTTAGGCCATCGATTCTCCATGGGGTGACTCTGCCCCCAGGGGAGATCGTCACTCCTGGAGATATTACTTGTCATGACCAGGGGGCTGTTGCTGCCACCTCATCGGTAGGACAGGGATGCTGCGATCCCTCCTGTCCCATGCAAGAACGTCCTCCCTCCAGGGTCATTCGGCCCCAAGGCCAACTAGGCCAAGGGCCCGACTTAGGGCCCCTCTAGTGCCCCCACAGAGAAGGGTCTGGGGAGCTTCAGGGTGGGGGAGCCCAGCGGGGTCTCCTTCCCTGGGCAGCCCCTCCCCTTGCCCCTCCGGGGACCAGCATTCAATTCAGATAAAAGAGTGCACACATACAAACCAGCTCTGCTTTAATGTATAAAAACAAAACCTCGTGTACATAAATATAATTTGGGGGTATAAATAAAGTAAGAAAATAAAAAAATAAATTACTCATAAATATCACGCTGGAAACTAAGTGCTGGGGACAGAGCGCCAAGCCTCCCCACGCTCCCACGGCTTGTTGGCAAGACTCGGGGCTTCCAAACCTTCCTTCCTCGGGTTGACAGAGAGCTGTGGGTGCTGCCACGAGGCAGTGGCTTGTCCACACAATGACTGGGGACGAGCGGCTGTACAAGAGCCAGGGAAATGGAATGAGTGACCCGTGAGCGCCTTGGTCTTTCTGGGTGGACATCCACAGCCCAAGGGGAGGTGCTGGAGCGTCGTCAGAGGGCAGACTGTGGGGTGCCATCTCCCAGGACCCCTGGAGCCACTGGGACTAACCATCTCTGCTGCCTATCCCTCTGAGCTGGGGCAGAGGTGGCAGCTTGGCCACCCCCCCCCCCAGGGGAACCGGCCCTGCTCCTGGCTCAGAGGCTCCTCTGTGCAGGATGCTGGCTACTGGACAAGGCGGACAGGAGGAGAGCCGTCCCGGGGCGGCGAGCCCTGGAGTCCTCTGTCCAGAATCTCAGGAGAGCTCCCAAATTTCCTGGGGCTGCAGGCTCCGCCTGCTCCTGAGTCTGTCTGACCGTTCTGGCCAGGGGCACGTGGGGAAAGGGAACTAGCTTCCAGAGTTAAGATCTGAATGGATTCTCGCGTGGGGTCGCATCATGGTCCCCAGACAGTGCACAGAGCTGACACCATCTGCCAAAAACGACAAGAAAGGAGGAGGGAAGTCCGTGTGGCAGGCAGAGTTGAGGGACAGTGGGCTCCCCGTCAGCAGAGGGCCTCCAGCAGAGCCACGTGGGGCTGAGGGACGGGCGGGGGCTTGGAGGGCAGGTGGGCAGGTGCGGGGCTTTCAATGCTACGAACAGGATCAGGCAAGTCTATCTGCTAGAAACGGGCGCCACCATGCAAGACGCACAGATTATGTACAACTTCTAACATCCTTCCTAAAGCTACACTCAGGGGGACACGGGGTCATCGTCACCGGGCACTGTCGGAGCCCTGGTTACTTCTGGAAGCTGGGGCTCTTCAGGCCCACTTCACTGGCCATCCCAAACGGGTCCATGCTGTCAGTTTCCAGAGGTAAAGAGAACACATCGGATTCCAAGCGGTCCCTGGTCTCCGCAGAGGCCAGGGGCAGCATGGGCAGGAAGTAGGACAGGGGAACCACGCCCTTGCTCTGGTACAGCTGCCGCTGCTTGGCACTGCTGAGCACCACGGGAAGGTGGTACTTCTGGGACCGGTACACGTTGTAGCCGTCATAGCTGATCTCCTCCTTGAACGTGCACTCTTCCTCCGAGTACCGAGGCTGGGGACAAACACAGCAAGTGAGCACCAGAGGGAGGGACCCCGAAAGAACACACGAGGACCTCGTGCTGTTTCCTGTCCCCCACAGCCACCAGCTGCCCCTGGAGGCTACCAGTAGTGGGTGTGCACATCACTGGTCTGCTTAATGTACACTTCCTTGCAACTATGTTTCATAGACGACACTTAGTACCTTTTATGTTATAGAGAACACAGACATTATACTACTATAGACATATTACACTGTAGACACCGCAGGCATATATTTCACATATATTGTATATATACTTTCCTTTTTTTTTTTTTGATACCAGGGATTGAACCCAAGGTGTTTAATCACTGAACCACTTAACCCAGCTCCACCCTTTATTTTGGTATTTTATTTAGAGTCAGGGTCTCACTAAGTTGCTGAAGACCTTGCTAATTGGCTTTGAACTTGTGATCCTCCTGCCTCAGTCTCCCGAGCTGCTGGGATTACAGGGTGCGCCAGGGCGCCCAGCTTCTATATGCACATATTATGTATTCGCTTAATAGCTACATACACCCTTCATAGAGCTACTCATTACATACTCTTTCTACAGCTCCTTAGCATTTCCTACAAAGTCATTTTGCTGTTTGAATTCAGCCTTGTCCCGAGTGATGACGCCCACAGAACCCTGCCCTCACTCTGAAACAGTTCACTGTATCCCTCGGGACTTTGAGAATCTGATCAAATCTCCGAGGATGGTCGGAAGCATTCCACGCAGCCCCATCTGGGGCCCAGACCAGGCATCTGCCCGCTCTCCCCTTCCATTTTGAGGCCGCCTGTTAGATGGTTTTCAGAAGCATCAGCCCCTCTGGCCCCTTCTCCTTCCAGGCAGCCTGCCAGGAACACGGAGATAATCCGCAGCCCCCTCCCCCATGCCCAGGACCGAGCCTGCACCCAGCGGGTGGCCGGAAATGTGTGCTGCAGGAAGCGGTCCCTGGTCCCAGGTCTTAGAACACTCCTAGTCCTCAGGGTTGTGAGGTGCCAAGTTCCAAACTGTTCAGTGTCATTACCTCTTGGGGACAGCGAGGACAGCCTAAAGCTGGGAGTAGGGAGGACTGCTCAGAAAACACAAGTCTGATTGTGCCTAGTCTGAAAAGGTCACTGAACTGCAGGTGGGTGAGTGACATCTGATAAGGCCCTGATAAGAGTCTAATAGCAAGAATCCATTGCTCCTGCCCGGGCTAATGACACACTGGGACAAAGCCACCAGACATCCAAGTTGATTGCGCTGAGTTTCTGAGAAATTTAAACTGCAAATAAACAAGGGAAATATTCTATTCCAATACGATGGGAGAACTTTCTCCATGCAGAAAATGAAACGATTTTGAGTTTCTAGAAGAATGTGGAATTTCTACTTAAAAGGGGGTAAAAAAAAGCGGATTGAGAGGTGCACAATCCTCAGTTTGGGCTAGGCTACGCTCACCAAATAAAGAGGCAGGGAGGGTTTTAGGGGGAAAGCTCCCACCAGCACCCCCAGTGTGCACTGGGCAGAATGAGGGTGGCCGGGCGGCCCTCCCACTTGCATCTGTGTCACAGTAAATGTCCACATAACAAAAGTTGCCAGGGCAGGTTGGAGCCCTTGGGAGTCTGCTTTCAGCAGGCGGACCTCGTGCCCCTTCCTTTGCCCTCACCCCCATCTTTTCAGTAGATAAATGGAATAAATAGACGTCAGATCCACAAAACGAATTTGAGACTCTAAAATGCTGAGCACTGCCACCATTAGCATTTTTCCTGGGGCAGACGCATCCCCCACAGGCAGCCTGGCGCTTCCTCTCGGCCCCTGCCCCTGTCCTTGCCCCTGCCCCTTCCAGTGAGCCGGGCTGCTTGGGAGGCGCTGGGCCCGCCGGGACCTCACACAGCTCCTCAGTGCAGCCGGGAGGGGCGAGAGCTCGGTCCTTTGAACTTCCAGCCTTTGTTCCCGGACCCGAGCCCCGGCCATCGCAAGCTTCCAGCCCCAAGCCTTCAGAGGTTACCTGGGCTCTCCCAGCCGCCCCCAACCCCCAGCCCCCAGCCCCCGAAATGCCCCAAAGTATTTGCATTGCAGGTGAGCGGGTAGGAGGGCCTGCAGGACCCAGAGCTGGTGAACCGCGTGGGCACCTTGCGCACTGTTTTCCTGGTGTACAGCGATTAATTAAAAGAAACCTGGCCAGCCCTCAATGCACTTTTTGCTTTCCAACTTGATGATTTTTTAAAAAAAGATGTTGTTTGGGGATAGTCTCTCTCCACTCTCTCTCTTTTTCTTTAGAGAGAGAGAGAGAGAGAGAGAGAGAGAGAAAGAGAGAGAGAGGTGAGGACCACACATGCAAAGCCTGAGGCTGAAAAGGTCGAGGTGGGTTTTCCTGTTTAATATCAAAGGAGCCGAAACGGGGTTTCCTCGTGCGGCTAGACTGGCCTTTGGTTCAAGGGGAACTGCATGGCGGGCCTCCCATTTCTGTGGCTACAGCCTGGGACCATAAATTTCCGTAGGGGGGGAAAAATCAGACAATAGCTTGATCGGCTCTTGCAATCTTTCCCTCCATTGACTTCCATTTGAGTCTGGACCGAGGCGAGAAAATCTAGCTTCTGATCCAGCGCACCCCGGCGCATCCCGCGGCGTGGGGACACTTACCAGTCCCTGTATCCTGCCGTCGGCGCCCATGCAGAGGTACCGGACGCTGTTTATGTCCTTGATGGCCACAGTCTCCAGAGCGACCGCCCTGATCTCCATCAAACCTGGGCAAAAGGGAAGCAAGAAGGTATATCCAGATCCTTCCAGGACCCGCAACACGTGGGTGCAGTCGGCCCCCTGTGGGGACCGAGAGAGGAAAGGTAACGCTACGGAGCTGAAAACTGGAGTTTCTGGGAGTTCCTGGGAACCCCCAAGAGCTGAGGAAGGCCAGGGGAGGAGGCGCACTGGGAGCAGGCGGTGGGTCGGGGGCGCGGGGTGGGGGGCACCTGGCGGCCTCTTACTACGCTCGCTCTGCTTCTCCTCGCAGTCCACGGCGCCGTCGGTGCGGATGCGCAGGAAACAGTTGGAGAAGCCGTAGGGGCCCGCGGCGTACAGGTGCCGGAGGCGGATGGGCTGATCCCAGCCATAGTACAAGTGTGGCCCCTGGTCGGAGAGAGCCAGAGAGCGCCGGGCCAGGGGTCGTCCGGCCACTGCCAACCAGAGGCTGGCCAGCACCAGGGCGCGGGCTAAGGCACGTCCGCTCGGCGCGCTCCGCATGGCACCTCCTGGGGGCTCGCGGCGACCGGGAAGAGCTGCCGGGCTGGCTGTGTCGGGGCTGGGTGTCTGTGGCCCGAGAGCGAGACGTGCGCTACTCGCTCTCAGGCGCGCAACGATCCTGCTCCGACGGCTCCGCGACTCAGGGCCTACGGCCTTATATAGCACTCCTGACGACCTGCCCTGTGGTTAAGGTCCCAGGGACACCCGAGAATTTCTTATCGGGATGGCCTCAAGCCTCCTCCCCCCTGCACACACCCACTCCCACCCCGCCTCGGGCCCCAGCCCCCTCCCCCGCCCCGCAGGTGGGCCGCGCCTCCTACTCCAGGCCCCGGTGACCCCGCCCAGGCCGTTAGGATCTCCCGGAGGTTGAGGCCACGCTTGGCGACAATGTCCCTGGAACGACTCTCCGCGGCGCGGCAGCTCGGGCGTCCTTGGCTGAGCGGGTTCAGTTTTATTAAGCGATGAAGGAGACAACTGCAGCCCCTCCCCCAGGCCCCGAGCTCCTGGGGGATGCGCTTTGTGCCGGGCCCCAGCAGGGGCGGGGGACAGGAACCCCGGGACCAGAGATTGGCCGGCCCAGAGCCTTCCTCCTCCACCCGCGGTCTGGAGAAGCCGCGCCTCGGCTTTCGGGCCCCCTCCCATGAAAAAACCACACTCCGTCCCTCCCAGACCGCCCCAGCCCTGAGTGTATCCTGCTGTCACAGTCGTCCATTCCCCCGGCCGTGTCGACCTTCTCGCATTCGGCCACTCTATCTTCTCGCGATCCCAGGCCCCAGCCCCTTCATCCTGGAACTTGCCCGGGGTCTGGGGGCCGGCGCTGTCTCCCGCGGCGGAGGCATAAAGGGAGCGCGCGGCACGGGGTGGACACTAGGTGGCGCCTCAGGCTCAGTTTCGGCCTGCGCCGCGCGCGCGCGGGCTGCAAGCCCCTCCGCGCCCTGCAGCTGCCCGCGGGGAGGGGGCCTGGGAGGGTGCTCGAAGCTGTGAAGGCAGCTCTCCGGCTGGGTGGCCGGCTAGCCGCGGGACTGGGGGGCAAGTTGCGCCTGCCCAGCTCGTCGTGGTCACGAGGCGCAGGGCGGCCGGACTGGGACCCGTTCGCCTCTGTTTTAAGATGCATGATGTTGGTGACCAGGCCTCTGGGTGCCTGAGCGCAGGGTTCAGGGAGAGCAGCATGGTCAGGGAGGGCGGGAGCTCCTAACCGGATGGGAAGGGGTGAGGCGCAGTGATGGGCGCGCCTGTCGTCTGGGCGGGCACCTCTCAGGAAGCCGTTCCCGCGAATAAAGGAATGGGCATCCCGGGCAAGGAAAAAGGGACCCTCCTAGGGGCTTTGGCTTAACACCGATTCTCCTCGTTATTCCTCCAAGCCCCCAACCCCATCGCAAAGGCGACGTCCCGGGCCAGCGTGGAGACGCACCGGGAGAAAGGCCGGCCTGGTGAACTCCAGTGAGCCCAGGCCCCATTCGTACCCCGCCAGTGCCTGGCCTTAAGGACGGAGCGCGCAGGAAGTGTCACCAGGAAAGCCTTTACAAAAAGAGCCCACCCCGAGGTTTTCTGGACAGGGACTCCCACGCTGTGCGCTTGGTTCGGAAAGCGCTGGCTTCTGTTAAATCTAATTACTTCCCCCTGTGGCTTTCAATCGTCCGCGGCTCCTTAATTACCTCCCTGCAGCTTTCGTTTTAAAGTCCCTGATAAATGCCGGGTGCTGGGGGGGGGGGCGGCTGCTGCATGGGTGGGGGGGGCGCGCCCCAAATAGGGCTGGGGGTGGGCACGGAGGGGCAGCATCTGGCTCCACCCTGTCTCTCTGCTCCCTTTTAGGGACCATCTTTCTCAGGCTGCCTGTGAACGCAGGTGGACATGCGGCGCTCAGAGAGGTGCCTCCAGAGCTTCCTATACCCCGTCCTTGTTCCCTGAGCAAATCCCTAGGACCCCCTGGTACTCCCCATCACTGAACAGGTAGAAAATGGGGTGTCAGAAAGTGGCAGAGTGACCCCAGGCCACACCACCGAGGATAATGATGGCCCATCCTCAGGGTCAGCTCTGAAAGTGTGTGTGCTGAATCCTGCTAGTGAGAGGAAACTGAGGCACAAGCAGATGGACAGACAGGTGGTGGGGGTTCCCAGTCCTGGGCATTTCCCAACTCCAACCCACCGGGCTCCCCCCGCGTGGCTGTGGGTGGAGGGAAGGCCTCACTGGCCAGAAGAGGGCGCTGTGGCACCCGTCTGGTTCTCTAGGTGAGAGCCGTGATCTGCCTCTGGGCGCAGGACCCTCTCCCAGACCCTCCAGCACACCTGGGGTTGGATTGAGATGACTCGGGTTTTTTTGTTGTTGTTTTTTTTTCAGGGTGCCTATGATTTGCTCCCTTCCACTGAGCCAGGCATGGTCCCGGTGAGATTCCATCCACCCAGTGGTGGGGGCAATGGTGAGCAGAGTCCCAGTCACACCCCCTGGCCCCTCTGCCTGGCTCAATTCTGGATATGATGTCAGCTCAGGGTTTTAGTTTGATTTGAGAGGTTTTGTTTGTTTTTTGTTATTGTCTGGTGCTGGGGGTGGAACCCAGGGCCTCATGTCTAGGAGGCAAGTGCTCTACCCTGGACCTATGCCCCCAGCCCTAGCTGGGAAGGTGGGAGGGTTGTTTTGTTTTGTTTTGCTTTTTTATCTGCCCTATTGAACCCTAAATTCTTTTTCTTGGGTTTCTGTCCTTCCATCTGAGCATGTGAAGGTTGCTATTTTCTGATCATAGCAAAGGAGAGATTTTCATCCTTTCTAAACCTGCATCCCAGCAACTAAGGAAGTCGTGCACAGCTTCGTGTCCGGTGTCTAGGTTATGAAATCAATCTGGATTCCAGGGTCAGCTGTGCACGCCTAAGCACATAAACCTACCATGCCCCCTGCCTCTTCCTTGTGGTTGAAAATCATTCCATAATTGGAGAAGTTTCTCAGCATTTGTTAAAACCTTTTTCAGAAAGCAAGAGCTGCCCGAGTGACAGGAAGGGCCTTGGGCACCTGAGTGAGGCAGAGCTGAGCCAAGGCCAGAATCCAGAGCCTGCGAGGACACACGTCCTATCCCGAGACTTCACCAATCACCCAAACCCTTTGTTTTTTCCTACTTTATGGATTGTTACTCCAAAAAGAGGCCACCAGCAAGCCCAGAAATCCGCAGGGGTTGTGGCGGAGTGGCAAAGGGAACACCTAGTTCCCAGGGTTCATGTGAGAATCAGGTACCTCTGTCCCTCACGGTGTTTCCATGGAGACTGCCGGGGGGTCAGGTGGTCCCGGGAGGGCGACTCTCTTGGTGCTCTTCTCTGGCGTTCCTGGCAACATTTTAATAAATTCTTATCTTAGAATGTAAGGGCTGTTCTAGAAAAAGATAACTCTGCATTGACGAAAAGCTGACTCGTGGTCACCAGGGGTGGAGATGGCTTCCGGGCGAGGAGGGAGTTTCTAGGGTGAGGGAAGTGTCCTCCATGGGGGTCTTGGTGGCAAATACACACATGACGACCTTTGCCAAAATTCACTGAATTGTTCCCTTAAAATGAGGGTGCTTGTTTGTTTGTTTCTAAGTAATTTCCATTAAATTTTACAGCTGAATGGTGTTTGGATTTAAAATATGCATTAACATAAATCTTGTTAGCTTTTTTTTTTTTTTTTGGTCTGGTTTTAAAAATCAGGTTAAAACACACACAACATGGATTGGCCATCCGAACTGCTTTCAGCCTGCAGCCCAAGGGGCCAGGGCACATGTCACGGTGCAAACCCTTGCCACTGTGCCTCTCCTCTCTTTCCATCTCCTGAAACCGAGCCTCTGCCTGGGGTGCATTGTATTTTAAGTTACCACCCCAAAAACATTGAGCATTTTCATCGCAGAAGGAGAGCTTGCCATGGTGGGAAATTTGGCAGATCCAGCAAAGTATAATGAAGACCACTTAAAAACGAGGATCGTCCCTGCATTACGAACCACTGTTTTCATCTGGGCGCGTCGGAGTGTATGGTTACTATTTTATTTCATTTTATTTTTTACGCATCGGAGGGAGCTGCTGCACCACAGAGCTACGTCCTCAGCCCTTTTTATTTTTGATTTTGAGACAGGATCTCGCTAAGCTGCCCAGGTTGGCCACACACTTCCACCCTCCCGCCTGGATTTTCAGGTGTGCCTGCGACCACAGGCACGTGCTCTGTTGCCCTGCATATGTACCTTAAAAAAAAAAAAAGAAGCATTTGAACTCAAAGGTACAGCTTACCTCCACTCCTCCCTCCTAACTGCGGACCCTCCCTCGGCACTGAATACAGCACCTCGGACACCAGCAGCCCTGAGCATGGACCATGCCGGGAGAGGCCCCTGGAGACCTGCCCTCCGCATGTCCTCTCTGGAGGGAATGAGTGGATCCTGAGTCCTCTTCCCCAGGTCGGCCCTGTCCCTGTGCAGGGGCGGGGCTGGTGCTCCTGCGATTCCAGAGGGGCCTGCTCTGCCCACACCAAGGGCAGATCCCTGCAGGAGACCCGGCTGTGTTCCAGCAGCAGCTGCCCAGGGTCCTGCGCTGGCAGAGAAGCCGGAGTCAGCACCTCCACTGGGCTCCGTCGAGGCCCAGGCCTGGGCACCTGGGCAGGGCGGTTTCCCCAGGCACCAGGAGCTGATGGCTCTGGCCGGGGCTGACCAGGCCTGGAGGTCTGTTCCCACTGATCTGGGGAGGTGTGACAGCGTGCGTGCGGCGACCTCACCCAGGACGCAGCAGCACGTCAAGAGCCACCTACCTGAAGAAGACAGAAAGGGCGCAGTGGAAGCCCTGCCGTGCCCATAGTGCCACACAGAGCATCACACCGCCACGGGCCTGAAAGGCACCCTCGCACGCCATCGCAGCGCGGAGACCCCGGGCCCACGGGGAGCCCCTGTCCCTCCCTGCAGAGTGGCCCTGCGTCTCCTCTCAGGGCTTTGGGATCCTAAGGTATGTTTGTCACACAGTCTGCTGAGAGCCACACCCTGGCTGTGGTGGTGGTGGTGACAGGGACACCCAGGAAGACCGCAGGGGCGCCGGGCCGCAGCCGGGCCTTTTCCTGGCGTGTCCAGTGGTGTTTCCACGGCACCTCTTTGGAAGGTGGGGAGCGCATTGGCCGACGGTCAGTGGAGTTGGGATTGAACAAAGCTCTTTACCCAACGGGCCCCTTGGGAAAGCCAGGAGGCCTGCCCGAGTTCAGAGCTTGCTGACGTCCAGTTCCTCTGCCCCAGGAGCTGCCCAGGTGCCTCCCAGAGTCGTCACCGAGACCCCGGAGGATCCAGCAAGCAGCAGAGAGGGCCCCCAGGGCGCCCGGCCCAGCAGGTCTTCTCTGTGGGGCCTGCCTGGCCATGACGTGTCGGCACCTGCCACCTGCCCCCCGTCGAAGCCTCCCGGGGTGACCTGGAACACGGCCTGCACCTTGTCCCTGGGCCTGTGCCCAGGAGGAGCTGGGGGGCACTCTGCTGTCGGCTCTGTCCTCTTCTGGCTTTCTCACCGTCCCGTCGGCCATTTCTGACCTGCAGGCTCTTCCGTGGTCAGGCATCCTGGCTGGTCGAAGGGACTTCCCTCTTCCCGTCCCCTGGTGCCCCCGAGGCAGGGCTCTTCCAGGGCCAGAGGGGCATGTGTGGATGGCCAGCTCCACAGGCAGGACACCCCCGGGTTGGTGGGCACGCTCTGTCGCGAGTGGTCTGCGCCAAGGGGGCCGCGTGATGGAGCTTTCCAGAGTCCCCCGGGGAATGCATCCCCCCACAATTCCTCTTTGGGGGCACTGGCCCATGCCCAGACTCTGGACCCCTGTGTTCCCCAGCAAGAGACGCAGAGTCCCTGCCCGTCCTGGGTGGAAGACAGACCCCCATTCTGAGTTAGGT